CATCCTGCACCTGTGGCCCTGGGCACCTGGAACCATTAGCCAGTCCCTCCTTCCTATTCCCTTCCTGCACCTGTGGCCTTCCACACCTGCAGCTGAGCAGCTGATTGGTTAGCAGAGCACTTTCTTCTCCACTCTCTGGCCGATGATTTTAATGTGAGATGAACCTCCAAGGTGAGTTTGGTAACAAAAGGGCTTTTGCCATTTTTTTTTTCAGTATATGGTGCAGTTTTATTTTATTTTTCCAGATGTATTTAGGTACAATTGGCAAGGAAAGATTATATATGGGGGGAATCAAGGGAAGAATGGAGGAACTTTGGATTGGGAGAAGGGGTGTGAGGAGAGGGGACAGAGTATGGGGGTGGGAAAGACGTGGAATGAGACAGACATTATTACCCTATGTATGGGTATCACTGCACGAATGGAATGACTCTACAACGAGAGAAATGAAAAGTTGTGCTCCATTTGTGTACAATGAGTTGAAATGCATTCTGCTGTCATCTATAATTAATTAGAACAAATTAAAAAATAAAAAAGATTGTATATATTTAAGATACACACACTAATGATTTGATGTATATGTATATACTTTATTTGTATAATTATGAAATGATTATCACAAACTAATTAACATACCTATCACATCACACAGTTCTAAGATATTCTTTCTTGGCAAATTTTGAGGACACAATACATTGTTATTAACCAGGGTCATTGTGCAGCATTATGTTAGGCCACCAGAGCAGTGGTCAGTTTTCATTGCTTTAACAAAACACCTGAGATAAACAACTGAAATAGTGTCAGAGGTCTCTGTCATGGTCACCGGCTCCATCATGTGGCTTGTGGTGAGGCAGCACATCATGGACAGAGGACATGGTGGAGCAAGACTGCTGAGCTTGGATCAGGACGGAGAGAGAGAGTGGCAGCATGGGGACAAGAGGCAGCCTTCCAGACACACCCTGTGATCTGCTCCATCCTTGAGGCCATCTCCTGTGGTGCCACACCTCCCAGTAAATGGAGGCCATGCACAGGCCCACCCAGGCGAGGCCCCAGGCCTCATGGCCCTTCTTGCACACTGCCACAGGGGAGCAGCCTTCCACACAGGGACTTTGGGGGACAGTCCCAGTCCAGACCATGACAAGAGCTTCTGCATTTTATAACTGAAAGTTTATACTCTTGCACCAACACCTTCCCTTTCCCTCCCCAGCCCCACCTTTCTAGATGAATAATTAAGGAAACAAAAAGACAAGCCACACACAGTGTGCCAGAACATTTTACAGAACACAGATTCAGTGAAGGGCTCGTATGCAGAACACATGAGGAGTTCTTATAATTCGGTCATGCAGAAACAGAACCCAGTACTAAGCCATGGGCAGATAACGGAAGCAGACATCCTGCTGAGAGGATATATGGATCTTCATAAGCACAGGAACAAGCCCTCAGACCTGATGTCAATAGAGGAAAGCAAACCACATTCCCACTTAGGACCAAATCACACATGCAGTGTCTCAGGTAAAGTTAGGGCCGAGATCCGGGCCACCATGACTGCAGTGCAGGCAGGAATCAGAACACTCAGGACTCTGGTGCCTGCTAGTGGGAAGGTAAGGCCCTGCACCACGCTGGAAAACAGCGTGGCCATCTCCTGTCAAATTAAATGTCGACTGTCATCTCCTGAGAGAAGTGAAGCATGAATCTGCATAGAAACTGGATGTGGACCTGTGACACTGTTACTTACCATACCCAATGGCTCATAGCAACTCAAAAAACTACTCAGTGATGAATGTGATAGATTTTATTCTGCAACAGGCAACAGCATGGGTGAATCTCAAGGGCTATGTTGAGGGAGGGAAGTTGTTATGTTGTGGACAGGGTTTGAGTGTGACTCCAGGGGTCATATGCTAGAAGCTTGGCTCCAGGGTGGGAGGCAGGAGGTGAGAGGTCCTTGGAGAGGTGGGGCCTGGTGGAAGATGCTGAGGTCCTTGGGCTAAGCCCTCAGAAGGGAAAATGGGTGCTCTCATTGACCTAGCCCCACAAGAGCAAGTTGCCATTGGAGAGCGGCCATCCTGCCCTTTCCTTAGGGTTCCTGTCTCAGGAGCCATCTCTCCTCTCACATGGCTCCTGGTATGATGCTGTAACATGGAACATGGATGTCAGGTGTGTTCTTTGTCTCATGAATTCAAAGAATGAAATCCACAGACACAAAGGTGAGAGAAAATTAACAGGATTTATTAGGGAAATAGGAAGCAAGCAGGGCTCCAAAAGGGGAGGGATCCCAAGAGAGGGGTGTCCACAGATGTCGGCTATCTGGGCTGGTTTTCTGGGCTGGTCTGTCCTTATAGATGATTGGTGGAATRGAGGATTCAGAAAGGGGGCAATCAACTCTATTTTGCCTTCTTCAGCAAATCTGGAGAAAAGTGATCTCTAAGCCTTAATCAGCACATGAATGGGAGTGAGGCTCTGTTGCAAGAGAAAGTACCATTGATGGTTGGTCCTGTCTAGGGGCTAAGGAGCTATCCTTGAGGCTACAGATAGCTCAACTTCCCAATTCTCTCTTCCCCTTTTCTTCTCCAAGACCTTTTTCCTGGCTGCCTGTGGGTGGTCTTTCTTTCTGTCTAATGACACCCACCAAGATAGAATGAGGCCAGAGAGTCCTCCAGCACCATGCTGTGTGGACCTCAAGTCTCTGCACTGAGAGCTACAGGAGCCTCTTATTTACAAGTCTCCCAGCCACAGGTGTCTTGTATGACAGAGGACAGTGGACTACCATGGGAGTCCAATGGACAAACACAGGGTCTGCTTCCATGAAATTCCAGCACAGGGTGAAGGGCACACCATGTAGCTATGTCAGAAAATACAGGAAAACTGGTGGATGAATGATGTCACTAAATGTAATGGATATTCCAAAGTGAGACCAGAGATAATTAAAAGACAACTAGAGCTGTGGAGGGCAGATCAGGACTAGCAGGGGTGGGAGTGGAATAGGGGCTCCATTTCTACTGGACTTGAGGGAATGTCTAGTCTCTTGATGGTGCCATAGCACCAGTGTATGCTGTGACCAAATCCACTAGCATGTGCCCTTAGAACCAGCACACTCACTGCATACAAGCATCACACTCATAAGAACATTGTTAAGAAAGGCTTTACCCTGAGGTCAAGTGAGAGGGCTATGAGGAGGGCAGGGAGATGGACTTTTATGTCACCCTTCCTATTCCTGTCCATACAAATCCTGGCCTCTCCCAAAGGCTGAGTCTGGACCCCTGCTTCCCTGGACTGTCTGGCCTCTCCACTGGTAATCCACGCCTGTGCTCTGGATTACAAACCTAGAGCACTAGGAGTTCCTTGTTTGTGTGTGAAGAACTTGTGTCTCAAAACATCTACAGATCCCTTCAGGGCTCTTGCTCACCACACGTCCCTGCCATTCTGAGGAGGTGCCAACACGTGGAACGGTGTGCCAATCATCTGGCCAGAACTCTGGGTGGATTCAGGATCCCCAAACATGTCCAGGTCCTGACCCCTGGCTTCTGAGAACAGGACTTCATCTGGAAACGTCTTTGCAGAATTAATGAAGGCAGGAACCTCAACAAGAGATGACCCTGCATGAGGTGAGTCCTAATGCCAACAACATGTGTCCTTTTGAGAGAAAGGCCAGGGGATTTTAAACACAGGGAGAAGTCAGTGGTGTGACGAAAGAGGCAGCGCTCGGAGCAGCAGTTCTATGAGGCAAGGAAGACTGGCAGCCCCAGAAGCTGCAAATGAGCCCAGCCTGGATTCTCTTCATAGCCTCCAGGGGAAACCAGCCCTGTTGACCCTCGATTTCAAAGCTGGGCTTCAGAACTGGGAAGAACAGACCCTGTTTTGAGCCCTGTGCCTGGCTCTGCAGCGGCCCCAGGGCACACGGCAGGCCTCCTACAGTGGGCTGGGCTCCAAAAGCTCACCCCCCACTGCTGCCTGGTGGGCTTTGCCACTGGCAGCAGGAGGAGGGTCATGGCTAGACACAGTCAAGCCTGTCCCTCTCAGGGCCACCCAGCAGCATGGCACCTGGCCAGACTGCATTCCCACTGGCCTGGGTGTCCTGAGCAGCACCTCTGTGCCTTCCTTTGCTCTCTCTCCCCTCCGCCCTCAGCCATGGTAGTTGGCAGCTCGTTCCTCCCATGTTTCCTTGTTTCTGGTCTCCTGGGTTCTTCAGTGCCTCATTGACACTTGCTTCTAGTCTACTCTCTCTGCCAAAAGGCTTATGTGGTTCCAGTCCTGGCTGAATGCTGACCAATGCCCAGGAATCTTTGGCTTGTTCTGACTTCTCACTGAGAGGGAAGAAGGGACTTGAGGTAGACCAGATGTCTGAGTGATTGCTGTAGGGAGCAGAGGTGAGGAGGGAGAGGTGGAAGAGAGGAGAGGAGGAGAAGGAGAGAAGAATGGCCAAGATGATGAAGGAGGAGGAGGGGAGGACAGGAGGGGAAGGCTGGCAGTTATTGTGTGACTACTACCTGTCCAACTCGAGCTGGATATTTTACATATGCACCCAGGTACGTGGCAGAAGTAGACAATGCTGAGCTGATAATGGTGTGGTTTTATCACAGCAGAGCTGCCATCACAAAGTTCTGCAGATGGAGTGACTTACACAGCAGAAAGCCCTTTCCTCTCACTTCCAGAGGCTGAGGTCTGAGACCGGGTGTGGGCAGGTTGGTCCCTTCTGAGGCCAGTTCTATGGCTTGTGAGAGCTCCCGTCTGAGTCCTCACAGGCTTTCCCCTGCGTGTGCCTGGGTCCAGATCTCTTCTCACAGAAACACCAGATCTGTGACATCAGGACCACTCACATGAAGGCACTGATTTCCTCTTGAAGGCCCATCTGCAAGGGCAGTCACATTCTGAGGTCCTGGGCTTAGGAGTTCAGCACAGGGATTTGGGGAAGGCAGCAAGCCAGCCCTGACACTGCCCTCATGCACACAGAATCTGATTGATGTCACCAGGAGGCAGAAGCCAGGGCTTATGGGTGCTGTTCTCCCTCAGCAGAAGTCTTCGGGACCTCTGGGGGAAAGGACAGGCTTCCAGGGAGGGCTTGTGTCTTCCTGGGTCTCTCTGGCCACTGAGCAGATGGTCAGGGGTCTAGGATCATGGGTCCAGAGGCAGAAGAATGGCTGCAGGGGGCCAGAAAAAGACAGTTCAGAGAACCTGTAGACCAGGGACCCCTTGGTGGCATTGTAGAAGGAAATCTCCCCTGCGTCCCAGTCTAGGAGGATGCCCAGCTGTCGGAGGGGCTGGGAAGGAGAGAGGTGAGTTCTTGGATAGGAGAGAGCCCAGAATCTCTTCTTATACAACTCCACTGCCCAGAGGCCATGCTGGGGGGATTTGGGGATCCAGCCTTCTCGATCTATGTTCTCCAGGCAAACCCCCAGAATCCAGGCCTGTCTGTCTCCCACCTCAACTTCCCAGTAGTATCTCCCAGCCAAGAACCGCTCTTGGGCCAGGACACAGGGGTCCTGGTCAAATCTCTTGGAGTTGGGGAGCAGGTACTGGTCGAAGAGCAGCCTCTTCACACTTTTCTGATCCTCTGATACCATGAGTTTGGGACTTGCTGTGTCAGGATCCAGTGAGGGGCTCACTGTGGAAAGAGGAGAGGGTCAGTGGGTCTGCACCCTAAGTTCCTTGCAGACCAGGGCTCCCAGGGTTGTTTCCTACATCAGGGTGTCCCTTGCTCTAGAATCCACTACTGTCCCAGTCCTGGGCCAAAAGCCTGTCCAAACAGCCTGTTCCCTGGCAGAGGAGCACACCAGACTGGGAGGCAGAGCCAAAGGGTTCCTGGGAGCTGTGGGCACGACTACACCCAGTGTGGCCCTGCTAGCTCCCAACATGTGCCCTGGGCTTCCTTCGTGGCTAGTGTCTGTGTGTGAATGACAGAGATGGAGAGACAGAGAGACAAGAATGCAGAGATAGTGAGAGAGACAGAGATGGTAATGCAGAGACAGAGACAGTAATGCAGAGAAGTGAGAGAGAATGCACTACACCCAAACCTGAATACTAACATGGATACAATATTATTAAATGCCATCATGAAATCTATGGGACATCCTCAGTTCCCAGATATCTCCAGTCCTCCAATCACTCTCTGATGCCCAGCAGCCTTGGCTCTCCCTTACCACCTCTCTGCTCTTCAGTCCTCACTAAGGAGATTGTACCCGGAGATGGTAGGTCACTGTTTCTCCACTGTCATGGTAATGGCCTCCCCTGGGTGCCCAGTCTTAAAAAAACAGCCTCCTCCCAGCATCTGCCACATGCAGGATGCCTTTGTCAGCACACCTCCCTCTCCCAGGAACTCAGAAAGGAACTAAGGTCTCCTGGGGCAGCTAAAGTCTGACTTATAAGGATATGGCATCAGCAGTTGACACAGTGCTTCTGCTCTCTGGAACAGATGTAAGCATCTCTTATAGACACATGTATGCACACACATACATACACACACAAACATCCAGAAATACATTCACAGACATAAGCATGCACCTCACAGATACATACACACATGCACATGCATACACAACACACATACACATACCACACAAATGTACACACACATGCATATACACTGACACATCAAGACAGTGCACACAGGCACACAGATGAAATTGGATGCACATGCATGGACATGCATGCATTCACATGTACATATGTGCACCTTCATAACACATGCATGCACACATGATTGCACAGGCATGCACTCACATGCATGACCCACACATGCAGATACCAATGTGAACACATATGTGCAAACACACAAACCAAAGACATGCATCACACATGAACACTCACCTGCATGCACGTATGTGTGCACAAACACACAAGCACACATGAAAACTGCACACACAGGCACTAATGCTTGTACACATGCATATACACACATGTGTGGACACACATATATGTATACACTCATGCACAGACATGGTGGTCTGTGTATACATGTGGGGATGAACATCAGAAAGCAGATAGAAGCCAGAGACGTCCTCATGTGTGTCCCTCTCTCACCACCCCCTTGGAATTTCTTATTTCTGTCATGTGAGAGTGGGTGAGGGTCAGAAAACAAGACCCATAAGCTACTAAGAATCCCACCCTTTTCTTTTTCTTTGAGACTAGCTCTGATTTCAGGGTCTCCTGGTGTCACTAGTCATTTTTCATCCCTGCCAGATGGGCTCAGGTCTGTGCTTCTGGGTCTTCTCCCTGTGGGGAGCTGGGCAGGGGTGGATCTTTGGTCTACAAATGCATGAGGTTTGGAGGCTGTACCTGAAGTCACACTCTCTAACCCGCAGGGAAACAAAAAGACCCTATACTGTGGGGCCCTGCTTATGAAATGGGGCTGAACTTGTGTACTGCAGCCTCAAGTCTGCCTCACAAGGCTCCTCTCAGAGTGTCTCTGGAGATGAGAGCTGGAGACTGTGTCTGGTGCCTAGTGACACGACAGGGAGGCATTCACTGCCAAGGACCACTGTCCTCAGCCTCCCTTCAGCCTTCCCTAGTCTGTCATGACACAGCCTTGACAGCCAGCAAGGGGACAATCTCTATATCCAACACAGGAGCCTGAGGCTAGGGACAGATCCCCAGGCCCCGAGTGAGCTTTCAGCTTCCAGAACTGGGAGCTAAGGAAACCTCTTTTCTTCATATATCACCCAGCCTTGGGTATTTGGGAAGACCAACCAGGCTGCCCGGATTATGTAGTGAAGACTCCTTCAGAGATAAGGGTTTTCACTATGTGGATCATATGGGTAGCTCTGGAGTTGGGATCCCTACTGATCATTCTGTTCCTGCTGAGTTTGAGGACAGACAGCCTCTGCTCTGGGCTGCGTGTTGAGGCCCCGTGCTTGAGGGGCATCACGTGTCCTGCTAAGCCTCCTACTCACCGTGGAATAGCTCAGCCTTGGTACTGCTGGCTTGTGGCCTCTGTGCTGTTTCTTCTTGCTCTGTCTCTTCTAGCAGTGTCTGGGAACTTTTCTTTTGCTGCTTCCCTAAACAGCAGAGTACTCCAGAGACCAGGAATCCCAGAGCAGCGAGGGCCAGAGACAGAGCTAGTTGCCACTCTGTGAGAGGAGGCCTGGAGAGGGGAGCTGAGGATATAGGAACTGAGAACAGCAGTTCTGTATTAGCATACATGGTGTTGAGGTCAGAATGGGGGGGCTCTCCATGAGTGAGCCCAGATGTAAATTGTGGGTGCCAGGTGGTAATGAAATCTGCTCTGGGGCAGGACTTTTGTATTGAGAGAGCTACACATGTTCGGGGTATATGGAAGATCTATGCACTTTCTGCTCACCTTTGCTGTGAGCTAAAACTGCTCTAAAAATTAGTCCATTTTGTAAAGAGTTAAGAATTACAAAAACAACATGGGGGTGAAACTTCTTGTTTCCACATAAATGCAAAGCTCCCCTGGTACTCTCCCTGTACCCCATCTCTGCCCCATCCTCAGCTATTACTTAAATCTGCATCCCCAGAGTTCTGCCAGGCTGTGCACAGAAACCAGTTCCCACCAGATCTTACTTGGAACCCTGGAGTCCTGGCACAGGTCTCAGTACTGTGCTGTCAGGGCTGAACAGACACTCACCAGGCAGCCAGCTCTCAGCCCCCTTCCTCTCCGGGAGGAGGGGGTTGGAAATGGAGCAGGACAGACCCTGCACAGCCCCATTCTGGACAGTCACCCTGGACACCACAGCCATGAGGCCCGTGGTGGCCGACAGTGAGAAGTTGGTCACAGCAGGCACTGGCTGTCCTCTGAGGTCTCTCCACTCCACCAAGGGCTCTGGGTACCAGCCTGCCGAGGTACATTTCACTTGGATACCTGTGCCCTGGTCATCCACCACTTGCACTCTGGGCTTTGAGCCCAGCCCTGGAGGAGAAACATCAGTTGGGACGTTGCCACCACAGCTGCTCCATTAAAACACATCTTGAAGACTTTAGTGTGTATTACCAACTGTTCACAAGCCATCACTCCCTGAAGTAAGTGCATACCTAACAGGTACGCCTTTGTCCTAGATAAAATAGCAGAGTGGGGCAGGGACAGTTCAGCAAGACAGAAGGGGTTCCTGTGTCACACAGGTGAGTGAGTGCAGGGAACAAGAAGGAGCTCGCTGGCCTGCCTCCAAAGAACAGCCCTGAGCCACCCAGGAAAACTGTACCCCAAATGCCTTTGTCCCTCCATGCCCTCCTTCTCAGCCTGCCTCAGCTCCCCCGTCTTTCCCTCTTATCAGTGCAATAATATAGTAAAGAAAAAGATCAGAAAACAGCTGTGCTTCCAGAACTATGTTCCCTGAGAAGCACAGTGATGTGCAGACCCTGGGGTGGCCTTGCTTGGGACTGTGTGTCCAGCAGGTTCTCAAGCTGTAGGACTCTGGTCACACCACCAGGATTGGGGCCAGGTGTGAGGAAGCTCCCCAGCAGGGCAGATGGCCACATGCTGCCCTTACCTGCCACTGTCAGCCAGAGTGTGGCCTGGTTGGAGGAAGTGCCCTCCTTGAAGAGGCAGTGATAGGTGCCGTTGTCAAACAGAGTGACGTTATGTATCCTCAGTGTGGCCTCACCCCTGGCTACATGGTCACTCACAAAGCTCGTCCTTCCCTGATACTCCACCATCTGCTCTTGATGCACGTCCTCCCCATTCCTGTGCACGAGTACAGCTGGGCTGGACTGGTTCCTGTACCACCTCAGCTCCATGCCTTCAGTGCTGATGTTGGGGACCAGTTGACATGACAACTCTGCATCTTCCCCCACCAGGGCCAGCACGGGGGCATGAGGCCCTTTGACTTGGAAATCAGCTCTTCCTTAGGGAGACAGACCCACGAGGATGGAGTCAGGCCTCATGTAGGGAGATGGTGCTCCCTACCCCACAAGGCCTTTGAGGGTGCAAGCGTCCTCTAAACCCTGCGCTGCAGAAAGGCCTCAGCTGGCCTGTCCCTCCACCCTGGGTCTCAGTGAGACCTCAGCTAGTCCCCACCTGGGAATGTCCCTCCTGGTGCCCTCCAGAGCTGGCAAGGGAGACTTCCTACCATTTCCAGGAGGTGGGAGCTGAAGGAAGAGGAAGGCAACAGTGCAGCGCAGTAGAGCATGTCCACAGCGTGTCTTTGCCATGCCTGTTGGGGACAGAGACACATGAGGTGGGACGTGCATTGAACATGGAGGGAGAGAATCCCCCTTCTCATAGGAAAGGGGAAATTGCCCTGGCAGAGAGAGGTGGTCCATCAGGTCCACATGTAGCCAGCAAGCAGGCCAACGACCCTTTCTCTCATGTCGCCTTCTCGAGATCACCTTCCTCTTGTGTGCCTCCCCTGCAGAATGCCATGGAGATATCCCAGGCCTTATTCTCCTGCTCGTGTGAGGGTTTTCACCCAGTAAGTAGTTCTTTACACCCACCAATCACCAGAAGGTGTGTGGAAAAACCCAAACTCCCACCAGGCAAATCTGAGGTCAGAAGGATGACAACAGCCCCCCTCCCCCAAAGCCCCTTCGTCTGTTGTCCTACAGGACTTCTACAGCTGGGTGCAGGACATGGTCCCTCTTGACAGGAGTTCAGCCACTGTTGCTGGCTGTCCTGAACTGACTGGGAGAGCAGGGGTGTGGAAGCCTTCTGCCATACTGGGCAGATTCTGACACAGCCTCCCGGGGTCTGCTCTTATGTCTGGATGAACAGGGAGGCCTGCGAAGTTTGGCTCTTGCCTTGGAGGAAAGCCCATGGGGCTCTGTGCTCCCCGAGCATGGGGAGAGAGTGAGGAGGCAAAGACTCCAGGAGGGCCTTACACAGAGGACACTCACCTTGCTCTGCTGCAGCTGCCCTGCTTCCTGGGGACATCTTGGTGACTTTGAGGGGATCAGCCTGGTTCTTGGCAAATCCCAGGCAGGGACAATGTCTCCAGGTAGTGATCAGAGAGAGAGCCTGGAGATCCCGAGGAAGCGCCAAGCTCCAGAGCTTCTGCAGAGCCCTTATTACTTTCGCAAAAATAACCAACTGTGCCTTTTTGGCAGCTGCAACAGATTCCAACAGGCAGGGGTGTGGCCAAGAGTCCTGAAGGTGGATGAAGATGCTGGTAGCAGGAGATAAGGGAAGAGTCTGAGATCAAGTAAGGCCCCTGGAAGATGGCCAGCAGGACCAGCTTGGGGCCACCAGGAGCCCTAAGGAGGGGCTCAGATCACCAAGGCTGGGAGCCCAGCCAACCTCCAGAGCCAGAGAGTTCAGATAAAACTCCATGGTTATCTGGAGACCTTCAGAGCTGCCGAGGGCTGCAGTTCCTTCGGGAAAGTTCTCCAGATCATGGTGACCTCGGTCTGATTCTGGCATTGTCCCTGGAGACACCCTTCCTCATTGCTTCCCAGTCACTGAGACTGTGTGTCCTGGCTGCTTGCAGATCTTTCACTGGGTTCCGTTCACCCCTTAAGGCCTGCCCCCACCGGCTTGTTCTGCCTATTCTCCCCTCAAGCCTCACACACCCTTGAAAGGTTTAGTGGGAGAAGAGCCACTGGGAAGGCTGCCTGGGCATCAGGGGATGGTATATGGTTTCACCCAACAGAGGTGTTAGGGGCTCTGAGATGCTCACTTACTGCTGAGAAAGTCTAAGCCCCTGATGCCTCCCTACCTCCTCAGGAGGAACCTTCTCTTGTAAGTCAGCTGTCCTCTCTCAGGTAGAAACACAAGGATCACACCTTGTTTATGTGGTCCTGTGAGTGGCTCTCACCAGGCAACCTCTCTCACTTGTCCTTTGGAGTTGGGAAGGAGGGCTTGGGTCCTGACCACCTAGAGTGCTCCAGTGCAGTCATTAGGGAGCACAGTAGGGAGGTTCCTATAGTGGAAGCACCGGAGATCCATCAACCCACTCCACATAGGTGTAGAGGACATGGGATGGTATGCCTGAGAGGCACCAGGTTGCCATGCTGCCTGCAGCCCTATCCATGGCAGCCAGACCTAGAAGCAGCCATGCATCCAGAAGATGGGTGGCTAAAGGAAACGTGGAGACTTCACAGGATGGGAGACAGTCATCCATCTAAGAAAGAGGTCCTGTCCTCTGTGTTGACATGGATGGAACCAGAGATCCTCATACCAAGTGACCAGAACTAACACACAAAATCAGCCCTGTAGGGTCTCCAGAAGATGTGGGAGCTCAGGGCCTAGGGCATCCATTGTGGGGAAAGCAGGGCAGAGGGGCGGGGAGGCACAGTTGGTGCTTAGAAGCTAGCAGAAAGGGTGGTGAATATCTGAGAAGACCTGCTCCCCTGGTTCAAACATGGCACAGCGTACACATGCACCCAAACATCACGGGACACCCCAGGGATAAGTGACACTTTATATACCATTTACAAATTTTACATTTAAGGAATCACAGTGTGCTCCCAAGATTAGCAGAGCAAATTGTGATAGAAGCAGATGTGAAGGGCTAAGTGCTAGCAACATCTAGAAAGACTGGGAACCATCCTTTCTATGGAGTGGAAATCTGTCTGAAGGCCCAGGGAGGGTGCTCCTTGCTAAGCAGGGGCTCACTGTGGTGCAGAGCCTCCAGCAAAAGCTGCCCAGACACAGGTGCCTCAGGTACCAGGCTTGAAGTCCTAAGGCAGGAGGACCACAAACTCAACACCATCCTCTGTGGGACTCCATCTCCATGAAGTGATCAGAAGGGGTGAGTCCAGGGAGAAAGAGTTACGGGGGTGGGGGGAGGAAGAAACAGAGGGAGATGGGGAGAGGAGGAAAGGAGAGGGAGGGAGGAGAGAGGGAGATAAGGAGGGGAAGGGGAGGGAGGGAGAGAGAGGGGGAAGGGGGGAAGGAGAGAAGGAGAGAGAGGGAGATAGGGAAAGGGAGAGAGAGGGAAAGAGAAACAGTGAGGGGGAGAGGAAGAGAGAGGGAGAAGGGGAGGGGGAGGGGGGAGAGGGAGGGAGAGAGAGGGGAATGGAGGGAAGGAGAGAGAGGGGAATGGAGGGAAGGAGAGGAGAGAGGGAGAGAAACAGTGAGTGGGGGAGAGGAAGAGAGAGGGAGATGGGAGATGAGGAAGGGGAGGGAGGGAGGAGGAGAGAGGGAGATAGGAAGGGGAGGAGGGAGAGTGAGAGAGGGAGGGAGAAGAAGATAGATAGGGAGGGGGAGGCAAGGGAGGGAAGGAGAGAGGGAGAGGAAGATAGAGGGGGAGGGGCAGAGAGGGAGGGAGAGAGGGACATGGGAGAGGGGGAGAGAAGGGAGAGAGGGAGAGAGGGAGGGAGAAGGAGAGGGAGTGGGAAGGAGAGAGAAAGGGACACAGGGGAGGGTGAGGGTGGGAGGGAGAGAGAGGGACATTGGGGGTGAGAGGGTGAGAGAGAGAGGGAGGGAGGGAGAGGAAGGGAGAAGGACAGAGGCAGAGGGAGGGAGAGAGAGATATGGGGGAGGGTGGGAGGGAGACAGAGAGACATGGGGGTGAGAGGGAGAGAGGGAGGGAGAGAGAGAGAGGACAGAGGCAGAGAGCCAACAAAAACTAATTTTGGGTGTCAAGGATGGGGACTGGGCAGGAGGTGGAAGTGGAAATGAGTGCAGCTGCTTTGTGGTTTGGAGGTTTTACTTGAGTATGCTGGGAATGTTTTGAAATCAGAGATGGTAAAGTGGCACCCCCTTTCTCTACAGAAAAGTCTTAACTGGGCTTCTCCAGAAATCTTCACTATGGTTGACTTTAGGACTTTCAGCAAAAGAGACTCTACAAAAGAGTTCAATGTAGAAAAACTTCCTATTTTCGTGTTGCCCTGTTTTACTTGGCCACTGGCTGATAAGATACCAGTTCTCCAGGTGCTGGACACCCCCTTACTAGTTTTCACAAATATATCCAGTAAAGTAGCTTGTAGAAATGTGCAAACAAGGCCTCTGGCCTTGAGCTGGGCTTCATAGAGATGTCTACATTTTTAAGATAAGTTACCAACTGGGCTCCATGGTAACAGCTGGCAGGGGGAGGAAAGAAAGGGGAGAAACAGCTCTCTCTTTCTCAGGTGTTGTCCTTGAAGGGCTAACTTGCCCAAAACAGTGAAAGAAAAAGCTGCTTTATGTGAACTTCTGCAGACTGTGAACTTCTAAGTCCCTCCCCTTACATGCTGGGTATAATACTCTGAAAATACCTGACTCAGGATTCAGGGGATTGATTGATTACAGCAAAAGCTGTGCCCTCTGAACCTGGCTGCAGCCAAATAAAACTGTTTCCTGCTATCTTCAGTGCCTTGCCTCATTTGTCCCTACAACAGTGGTAGAAAACATTGTGTCATAAATGCCAAGGAATGCTATACTTTAAGTGGTTAATTTTATGCTATGTGAATTTCAATTCTATTTTTTTAAAAAAAGAAAAACAGGGATAAAACAGAATAAGGAAAAAAATCAAAAAGGAAAAAAAAAATTAAAAAGGTACATGATTACCCACTCAAGAGGAGATTAATTTTTTAAAAAAGAAAGAAAAGAAAAAAGAACCCTTCCCAGCAACTTCCCCTAAACAGACCTGTGAGCTCTCTGGGCGCCCTCTGCAGGGATCCTGGATCCTCTGCCAGCTCTCCCCATTCCAACCTGGCCCCTCTTCCTCCATCTCCTCCCCCTTCTTAGCTCTGACCCCTCTTCCTCTTCCTCCTCCCTAGCCCCAGGCCCTCTTCTCCCCCTCCCCCCTCTCCCTCTCCACCTCCTTTCCTTCCTCCTCTTTAGCCCTGGCCCCTCCTATTCCTCTTTCCTTCCTCCCCCTCCTCTCTCCCTCCCCCTTAGCCCTGGCTCCTTCCATGTTTCTTCAGCACATTGAACCTAATGTCCTAGCATTTTCTCTCCTCTGTAGGTGGTCACACACTGGAAATAGTGATAGCAGATCTGGTCCACTTACCTCAGGATTCTCTTCTTGAACCACTCTGCTTTAGGTCTTTGGTTGGATGTGATTAGCAGGCACCCTAGACAATGAATGGCTGGATTCAACAAAGCCCTGACAACTAGGGGAGGGGAGCCGCGTTTCCCAAGCACAGCCACCAGAGGGCCACATCTGGCTGAGTTGCTAGCAGCTGTTTCCTTTGGATAGACTTGTCCTTGTAAATTTAAAACTAAAGCATCCTTCAGCTTTTTGAATCAAAAGCAATGAMTTGATTGATTGTGAGTCAAGATTCGGTTATAA